TGTCCGGGTTAGGGTTCACACATCGCAGCAGTCTGTGTGATGTGGTGTGATGTGTTGTCAGCATTGTTTGGGTGTGTTTGCTCTGCTGCTGCCGGGGTTAGGGTTCACACATCGCAGCAGTCTGTGTGATGTGGTGTGATGTGTTGTCAGCATTGTTTGGGTGTGTTTGCTCTGCTGCTGCTGGGGTTAGGGTTCACACATCGCAGCAGTCTGTGTGATGTGGTGTGATGTGTTGTCAGCATTGTTTGGGTGTGTTTGCTCTGCTGCTGTCCTGGTTAGGGTTCACACATCGCAGCAGTCTGTGTGATGTGGTGTGATGTGTTGTCAGCATTGTTTGGGTGTGTTTGCTCTGCTGCTGTCCGGGTTAGGGTTCACACATCGCAGCAGTCTGTGTGATGTGGTGTGATGTGTTGTCAGCATTGTTTGGGTGTGTTTGCTCTGCTGCTGTCCTGGTTAGGGTTCACACATCGCAGCAGTCTGTGTGATGTGGTGTGATGTGTTGTCAGCATTGTTTGGGTGTGTTTGCTCTGCTGCTGGGGTTAGGGTTCACACATCGCAGCAGTCTGTGTGATGTGGTGTGATGTGTTGTCAGCATTGTTTGGGTGTGTTTGCTCTGCTGCTGCCGGGGTTAGGATTCACACATCGCAGCAGTCTGTGTGATGTGGTGTGATGTGTTGTCATCATTGTTTGGGTGTGTTTGCTCTGCTGCTGCGGGGGTTAGGGTTCACACATCGCAGCAGTCTGTGTGATGTGGTGCGATGTGTTGTCAGCATTGTTTGGGTGTGTTTGCTCTGCTGCTGCGGGGGTTAGGGTTCACACATCGCAGCAGTCTGTGTGATGTGGTGTGATGTGTTGTCAGCATTGTTTGGGTGTGTTTGCTCTGCTGCTGCCGGGGTTAGGGTTCACACATCGCAGCAGTCTGTGTGATGTGGTGTGATGTGTTGTCAGCATTGTTTGGGTGTGTTTGCTCTGCTGCTGTCCTGGTTAGGGTTCACACATCGCAGCAGTCTGTGTGATGTGGTGTGATGTGTTGTCAGCATTGTTTGGGTGTGTTTGCTCTGCTGCTGCTGGGGTTAGGGTTCACACATCGCAGCAGTCTGTGTGATGTGGTGTGATGTGTTGTCAGCATTGTTTGGGTGTGTTTGCTCTGCTGCTGTCGGGGTTAGGGTTCACACATCGCAGCAGTCTGTGTGATAGGGTGTGATGTGTTGTCAGCATTGTTTGGGTATGTTTGCTCTGCTGCTGCTGTCCGGGTTAGGGTTCACACATCGCAGCAGTCTGTGTGATGTGGTGTGATGTGTTGTCAGCATTGTTTGGGTGTGTTTGCTCTGCTGCTGCCGGGGTTAGGGTTCACACATCACAGCAGTCTGTGTGATGTGGTGTGATGTGTTGTCAGCATTGTTTGGGTGTGTTTGCTCTGCTGCTGTCCGGGTTAGGGTTCACACATCGCAGCAGTCTGTGTGATGTGGTGTGATGTGTTGTCAGCATTGTTTGGGTGTGTTTGCTCTGCTGCTGCGGGGGTTAGGGTTCACACATCGCAGCAGTCTGTGTGATGTGGTGTGATGTGTTGTCAGCATTGTTTGGGTGTGTTTGCTCTGCTGCTGTCCGGGTTAGGGTTCACACATCGCAGCAGTCTGTGTGATGTGGTGTGATGTGTTGTCAGCATTGTTTGGGTGTGTTTGCTCTGCTGCTGTCCGGGTTAGGGTTCACACATCGCAGCAGTCTGTGTGATGTGGTGTGATGTGTTGTCAGCATTGTTTGGGTGTGTTTGCTCTGCTGCTGCGGGGGTTAGGGTTCACACATCGCAGCAGTCTGTGTGATGTGGTGTGATGTGTTGTCAGCATTGTTTGGGTGTGTTTGCTCTGCTGCTGTCCGGGTTAGGGTTCACACATCGCAGCAGTCTGTGTGATGTGGTGTGATGTGTTGTCAGCATTGTTTGGGTGTGTTTGCTCTGCTGCTGCCGGGGTTAGGGTTCACACATCGCAGCAGTCTGTGTGATGTGGTGTGATGTGTTGTCAGCATTGTTTGGGTGTGTTTGCTCTGCTGCTGCTGGGGTTAGGGTTCACACATCGCAGCAGTCTGTGTGATGTGGTGTGATGTGTTGTCAGCATTGTTTGGGTGTGTTTGCTCTGCTGCTGTCCGGGAGGAGTCAGACAACAGATACTGCTTAGTTACCTCCCTGGCATGGATGCCACATATAGAGACCCCTCTCCTGCCCTCACTTTGAATACGAATAAGATAACAATATAATTACAATATTAGGATACAGGTATTCATGGATATTTGTGAAACAATACAATATGTATTGTTACGTATCGATTCCCAAATAGAAACAGTATGTTAACCCAGAAATCTGTACATAACAGAACCTAGTGTGAAGCCAACAAACAAGCAACAAATGGTATACAATCAACAAATATATTACAAAATTTGCTAAGTTTAAAGATCAATAAAAAGTACTGCACAGCAATTACAATGGTAGTGCACAAAAGAATGCACATTTGTATACTTATCCTGCATTATGAAGTCGAAGTGCCCTCCGTGTCACATGCCGACTGTGCGAGGGGTGCTGCCATATACCGGTTGGAACAACTTTTCTTCAGCAGCTGGATCTCACACAGTTCGTCTCTCTGTCAAAGACAGCAGTAAATGCAATACGGAGTAATGCAGGATAAGTATACAAATGTAAAAAATATTTAGATTTTACTAATTTGGGAAGCTCATTAACTGCTCTTGTATATGGACTGACAGGTTAGATAGAAATTCTCTCATCAAGTTGGACTTAAGGTAACACTCAGATGATTTGGTCTTTCCTATTGGTGGATGCCAGCGGGATTTGTCACCTTCTGAATTCTCTTGTCTATGAAGAATGATTTCATCATTTCTTTTGATTTGTGATAATACCAAAATAGGGATTAGGGAAATTCAATAGGGATGGTTGTGTTGGAGTAGTTTGGTTTCTCAGGAACAAAATAGCACAAAACATATCTTGTCATTATCCACAGCGATTTCCCACTGGGCTGAGTGAGCTGAGTCAATGGACGAGTTTCGAGGCTTTGCCCCTTGTCTTTGGGCCATGTACACCTCTGTACTCTGTATCAAATACTGTAAATCTTGTAATTAATGCATCTCCAAGTTTATACAACTACTGACACCTAGCCAAAAATGCGACATAAAATCAGTGAGACTCCCCCTACCCCATCCCCAGTGGAATGATACATATCCTTACCTTAATCCAACCAAACAGCAAATAGCACCGCTTATTAGCACTGAGTTAAGCACTTCTGTAATAACAATAAACAGTGTTTCCCTAAAAACAACACACAGTTTATTTGTTTGTTCTGTTGACGTTTGAGAAGTTTAAAGACAATAAATTAATTAAACCAACAACAGTTCACTCACTCACGGACGTGTATACGTCTTTGACTCACTGGAGTGGTCAATGAAGCCTAGTTTGACACGAGTAGGTAGAACTCTTGACCCCAGCAGTGATAACTCACAGGATGCCCATTGTGTAATCCCTATTGGTTAAATGACATTGCTGTGGACTTGTTACAACTGCTGCTCCATAAACTGTGTTTGTGTTCATATTCAAGTTGGCATTTCCTCTATCTAAAGTGTGCAGTGAGGCTATCTAAAGTGTGCAGTGAGGCTATCTAAAGTGTGCAGTGAGGCTATCTAAAGTGTGCAGTGAGGCTATATCTAAACTGTGCAGTGAGGCTGTCTAAAGTGTGCAGTGAGGCTATCTAAAGTGTGCAGTGAGGCTATCTAAAGTGTGCAGTGAGGCTGTCTAAAGTGTGCAGTGAGGCTGTCTAAAGTGTGTAGTGAGGCTATCTAAAGCGTGCAGTGAGGCTATCTAAAGTGTGCAGTGAGGCTATATCTAAACTGTGCAGTGAGGCTATCTAAAGTGTGCAGTGAGGCTATATCTAAACTGTGCAGTGAGGCTGTCTAAAGTGTGCAGTGAGGCTATCTAAAGTGTGCAGTGAGGCTATCTAAAGTGTGCAGTGAGGCTGTCTAAAGTGTGCAGTGAGGCTGTCTAAAGTGTGCAGTGAGGCTATCTAAAGCGTGCAGTGAGGCTATCTAAAGCGTGCAGTAAGGCTATCTAAAGTGTGCAGTGAGGCTATCTAAAGTGTGCAGTGAGGCTGTCTAAAGTGTGCAGTGAGGCTATCTAAAGTGTGCAGTGAGGCTATCTAAAGTGTGCAGTGAGGCTATCTAAAGCGTGCAGTAAGGCTATCTAAAGTGTGCAGTGAGGCTATCTAAAGTGTGCAGTGAGGTTGTCTAAAGTGTGCAGTGAGGCTATCTAAAGTGTGCAGTGAGGCTATCTAAAGTGTGCGGTGAGGCTATATCTAAACTGTGCAGTGAGGCTATCTAAAGTGTGCAGTGAGGCTATCTAAAGTGTGCAGTGAGACTATCTGTTCTGAAGCGTCCGGGAACAATTGTCCGGGAACAAGTTTCATGTTCCTGGACACAGTGGTTGACGCATTGGTACACAACAGCTTCGCGGAAAGCGTTAAAGTTGGCATGCAGCACGTGCTTCTTGTTGGATGAGGGCAAAATGCGCATGCTCTAGAAACAGATTATTTCAGTTGTCTTCTGGCATTCATATGGGCAAGGAGTAAATGGATATCTCTCTCTAAGTTAGCAAATAGTGAATTAGAATATTACAGAAATAGAATAGAACAGAATAGAAATAGTTGAGAGAGTTACCCATTTACATTGTTACCATACGGCAACTTCACTTTTAGTTTAAAATCCATTTCATTTGATCTTATCACATTTTCATTGTTTAGTTGATTATAAGGGGATTTCACGTTTAGTTGATTATAAGGGGATTTCACGTTTAGTTGATTGCAAGGTAAGGTCATGTTAAGTTTAGTTTAGTTTAGTCTTCCACTGCGAAACATTGGTAGCAGAGCATGGTTGCTCTGAATATGGGCTAGTTAGTTAGTTATAGTGACTGGTGTTGATAGTTCTTAGGGTCAACGTACGTCATTCAAAAATAGGATAGATTTTCACGTGTAGTTTGATGCTTGGTTGTTCACAATGGCTGGCAAAGCAACAAGCATGTCTGATATAGCAAAGTCTGAAGGTGGGATAATAAATCCTGAAAAGGCTACAAGTATTAGTGATGTAGATAAGCTGGAGTTAAAAATAGCTCAGCTTAAGAAACAAAAGACGGCAGCAAAGTCTGCATTGACAAAGGCTCAGAATAAGATGCTGAGTATGATAGACCAGGAGGATCTCCCCACAAGGAAAGCAGTGAGGGATGAGATAGATAAGGTGAGTTCACTTCAGGCTAAAGCTGTTGACTTATTGTATGACCTGTCCAAGGCATACGACCAACATGGAGATTACGAGAATGCCAAGAAAACATGTAAGGAAATAGATGAAGTCTTAGAATATAGCGATGATGCAATACACAATGCAAGATTGCATTTGAGCAGCAGGTCAGATGACAGCTCGTCTTCTGGTATAAGGTCAGTAATGTCGAGGATATTTCGCCCAGTTAACACAAAGAAACACATGCCTGTGAAACTTAAAGTCGCAGAGCTTCAAGAAGAACAATGTGTTCCTTCTGTTCATCAGAATGTTGGTCATGGTGAGTCAGTTGCACCAGAAATAGATATGAGTAGAATAAGAATAGAAATGGAAGCACCTGCTTCTCCTGAAATAAAAAGGGGGAAATTACATAATAATTATGATAGTGCTTTCAAACGTCTGAAACAAATTGAGAAAAGGTTATCCAAAGATGTTACAATTCAGACAGCATATGGGGATGTGATATCACAGTATCTGAAAACAGGATACATCACAAAAGTTCCTGAAAAAGAAGTTAACAAAAAATGTTGGTACTTACCTCATTTTCCAGTGGTCCGGCCTGAACGAAATACAACGAAGGTAAGGATGGTTTTCGATGCATCAGCAAAAAGTGATGGGGTGTCCTTAAATGATGTTGTTCACCAGGGTCCGAAAATGCAAAATGATCTTGTTGAAATATTGCTAAGATTTAGAAAACATCCAATCGCAATCATATGCGACATTGCAGAAATGTACTTGCAAATCAAGATTACTGAAGCTGATCAACCGTACTTCAGATTTCTATGGAGATCAATGAACCTGGACGAAGAACCTGATGTATATGAATTTTCACGGGTAGTCTTCGGAATGAATTGTTCACCATTTCTGGCACAGTATATTACACAGGAACATGCTAAGGCATGCAAAATTCATCTTCCTTTGGCTGCAGACACAGTTGCTAAATCAACATACATGGATGACACAATGGATTCGGTAGAAACCGAGGAAAAAGCTATAGAGCTTTATGATCAGGTGAATGAACTGTGGACTACAGCTGGAATGCACGCCAGGAAGTGGGTCTCCAATTCATTGAAGGTCCTTGAATGTATTCCAGTTGCAGATAGACTATCTGAAATTAATATTCAGATGACTGAACTGCCATCAGTGAAAGCTCTTGGGTTGCTCTGGAATGCAGAGAGTGATAGGTTTCAATTCTGCTACAACATAAAAAATGATCACTTTCAAATGTCAAAAAGAGCTTTCTTGAGGGAGATTGCTAAGATATTTGATCCTTTGGGACTGTTAGCTCCATTCACCATTCGGGCAAAGATAATATTGCAACACATTTGGGTGTCTGGTGTAGGTTGGGATGACAGTCTGCATCCTGATTTAGAGGAAAAGGTATTGCAATGGTATAGGGAATTGGCAGATTTGAAGTCTTTATATTTCCCAAGATGGATTGAATTTAGAACTGAAATAGCCAATCCACGCCTACATGTGTTTGTAGATGCATCACAAGATGCTTTTGGTGCAGTCATTTATCTGGTGAGTGTTAATGAACACAGGACAGCAAGTCAACTTGTAGCTGCAAAAAGTCATGTTGCTCCACTGAAGGCTATCAGTGTCCCGCGACTAGAGTTGATGGCAGCGGTTCTTGGGGTGAAACTTCTGCTTGCTATTGCAAAAGGCCTAGAAATGTCACCTTATGATGCTAGGATCTGGTCCGATAGCATGAACGTGTTGTGGTGGATAAAAAGCCACAGTAGAAGCTTTAAGCCATTTGTGGCAAATCGGGTTGGTTTTATACAAGAAGTGACAAAACCCAGCCAATGGATGCATGTACCAACTAAGTTGAATACAGCAGACATACTTACAAAAGGTTGTAAACCTGAAACACTTGGTACAAAAGCATGGCTACAAGGTCCTGAGTTTTTAAAACTTGATGTAAGCCAATGGCCAAAACAGATACATGCTTTCCAGAAAGTTGAGATGGAAAGGAAAACTGGATCAAATATGAAAGTGACAATGATGGTGCAAGATGTTGATCAGACATGGCGTTTGGATCCATGTAGGTTTTCCGACTGGAAAAGACTGTGCAGAGTCTTTGCATGGGTCTACAGGTTTCTCAGTAACTGTCGGACAAAAAAGGATATGAGAAGGAAAGAAGAACTGGACCTAGAAGAGATTGAAGGAGCTGAAAGAAAACTAATTTCAGAAGATCAAAAGGAAGCATTTCCTAAAGAGTATTGGGCACTGTACCATGACAGCAGAATACCACCTAAGAGTAAACTCATAGGATTACAGCCTTTTCTGGATGAAACAGGAGTGATGAGATTAAATGGCAGACTGAGGTTTGCAGAAGTCCTGTCCTGGGAAGCAAGGTTTCCTATTATTCTTCCCAGAAAAAGCCCAGTGACAAAGTTGATAGTTAAACATCATCATGAAATGTGTCACCACATGGGAACAAATACCACATTAGCTTCATTGTCTTCCAAGTTCTGGATAATATCCTCAAGGGAGGAAATTCGTGAATGGGAAAATGCATGTTCTTGGTGCAAAAAACAAAAAGCAAAGCCAGCACAACAACTCATGGGCAATCTTCCAAAGGTGAGAGTAGTTTGTTCAATGAGAGCATTTGTTCAAGCGGGGGTAGATTTCGCTGGTCCATTTCTTACTGTACAGGGTCGAGGTAAAAGCCGTCAAAAGCGTTACCTGTGCCTGTTCACATGCCTAGCTACACGCGCTGTACATTTAGAAATCGCTTTTGGACTAGACACAAATTCGTTCTTGAATGCTCTCTTCCGCATGGCACACAGAAGGGGAATGCCCAAAGAGATCATATCGGACAACGGGACGAATTTCGTTGGAGCTGTGAAAGAGCTTAAAGAGCTGGTGACTTCATTAGATTCTGACATCACAAAATCGAAATTGGCAAACAGAGGCATTGTATGGAGATTTAATCCTCCAAATGCTCCTCACTTCGGAGGAGTATTCGAATCGATGGTCAAGTCAGCTAAACGGGCTATTTATGCTGTCCTCAGCTCAAGTGATGTCACCGATGAAGAACTGATGACTGCTTTTACTGGGGCCGAAGCTCTGTTGAATTCAAGACCACTCACATATCAGAGTGCCCACACACAGGATGATGTTCCGCTCACACCAAACCACTTTCTACATGGGCAGCTTGGTGGAGACTTCGCTCCAGAAATAGATTCTACTTCCTTTTCTCCCCAGAAGCGTTGGCGGAGGATCCAGGAACTCATCAGGCATATCTGGAGGAGATGGATGAGAGAGTGGCTTCCAACGTTGAATGTCCGAAAAAAGTGGGTCACGTCATCAAGAGACTTCCAAGTTGATGATGTGGTGATTGTCGTATCACAAGATAATCCAAGAGGAACTTGGCCAATGGGAAGGATATTGAAAACTTACCCAGGCAAAGATGGCCATGTTAGAGTTGTAGATGTTAAAGTTGGAGGGTCGAGATTGACTCGACCAGTTACAAAGATCTGTCCTCTCGAATATCGAGACTGAACAAGAACCAGTTGTTCAAGGTTGTAAATAGTGCTGCTGTTTTCATTGACTAGTCATTGTTGTAAATAAGTTAGGTTTTTTTTTGTAGTTTGTCAACTGCGTATTGTTCCAAATAGATGATAGACAGGGGTCTATCATGGAAGGGGGCATGTTCTGAAGCGTCCGGGAACAATTGTCCGGGAACAAGTTTCATGTTCCTGGACACAGTGGTTGACGCATTGGTACACAACAGCTTCGCGGAAAGCGTTAAAGTTGGCATGCAGCACGTGCTTCTTGTTGGATGAGGGCAAAATGCGCATGCTCTAGAAACAGATTATTTCAGTTGTCTTCTGGCATTCATATGGGCAAGGAGTAAATGGATATCTCTCTCTAAGTTAGCAAATAGTGAATTAGAATATTACAGAAATAGAATAGAACAGAATAGAAATAGTTGAGAGAGTTACCCATTTACATTGTTACCATACGGCAACTTCACTTTTAGTTTAAAATCCATTTCATTTGATCTTATCACATTTTCATTGTTTAGTTGATTATAAGGGGATTTCACGTTTAGTTGATTATAAGGGGATTTCACGTTTAGTTGATTGCAAGGTAAGGTCATGTTAAGTTTAGTTTAGTTTAGTCTTCCACTGCGAAACACTATCTAAAGTGTGCAGTGAGGCTATCTAAAGTGTACAGTGAGGCTGTCTAAAGTGTGCAGTGAGGCTATCTAAAGTGTGCAGTGAGGCTATCTAAAGTGTGCAGTGAGGCTATCTAAAATGTGCAGTGAGGCTATCTAAATTGTGCAGTGAGGCTATCTAAACTGTGCAGTGAGGCTATCTAAAGTGTGCAGTGAGACTATCTAAAGTGTGCAGTGAGGCTATCTAAAGTGTACAGTGAGGCTGTCTAAAGTGTGCAGTGAGGCTATCTAAAGTGTGCAGTGAGGCTATCTAAAGTGTGCAGTGAGGCTATCTAAAGTGTGCAGTGAGGCTATCTAAAGTGTGCAGTGAGGCTGTCTAAAGTGTGCAGTGAGGCTATCTAAATTGTGCAGTGAGGCTATCTAAAGTGTGCAGTGAGGCTATCTAAAGTGTGCAGTGAGGCTATCTAAATTGTGCAGTGAGGCTATCTAAAGTGTGCAGTGAGGCTATCTAAATTGTGCAGTGAGGCTATCTAAAGTGTGCAGTGAGGCTATCTAAAGTGTGCAGTGAGGCTATCTAAAGTGTGCAGTGAGGCTATCTAAATTGTGCAGTGAGGCTATCTAAAGTGTGCAGTGAGGCTATCTAAATTGTGTAGTGAGGCTATCTAAAGTGTGCAGTGAGGCTATCTAAATTGTGCAGTGAGGCTATCTAAAGTGTGCAGTGAGGCTATCTAAATTGTGCAGTGAGGCTATCTAAAGTGTGCAGTGAGGCTATCTAAATGCGAAGTTTCATTAATGTAAACAAGGACCACTCGCATTCTTCGCATTTAATTCACACTCACGTTAATTTCAAGATTTACAATATATGTGTTATATACATCAGCATTCAAATCCATTGATATATACTGATGTCATTCAGATATCAGGCAGAATTTTGTCCACTCAGTTTCCATATGGCTGTTGAATAAAACAATTATCACACAGTAATTTTATTGTGTACGATAAAAAGAGTAAAAATTTACTGGGTTCCTTTGCATAACAAAATCTAGGACAACACTTAACACTGTTTCAAACCAGTTTGATATTTCCAGTTAATTTTTCACCCTCGGATCGGAATTTTAATAAGCTACATCTCTGCGGACACGCGCCTTCAATTCTTGTACAACGTTCTTGATTTCCATTTGCCAATTTGATTGGCTACAATCAAGGCTGCTTGAAATTCAACATTGAAACACTGACAGACAGCCAAAAGAAAGTCGTTAAACATCTTTTTGATGGAAAGGATGTCTTCATATTTATTAAAATTGGCAGTGGTTTGGGTTTCTAGGTAATATGAGTTAGCTCCCTTTTCCCATGAGGTTTATTGCCGTTCGATTGGTCGGTAATGAATATCAAGGTCAGGTAATTTGAGATTGTGAGAACCACGGATAGGATGTTATCCACCATAACATGGTGGAAGTTGGAGGAATCAGAACACTGTTGATTCAGAGCTCGTTTATATCTCCATTACTCCTCTGCTGTTGTCCTTAACCCAGGTCAAGTGGTCCCCCGACATTCAGTGGTACGTGGAAACTGTCAACGCTGTCCTGGTGGAGTGTACCAACAGCGCTCTTGTTGACCAACTCATGGATAAACTGGACATGGGTAGGTCTCACTCACTGCATCAAGGGATGAACCGGGTACATGGGTAGATCTCATTCACTGCATCAAGGGAAGAACCAGGTACATGGGTAGGTCTCACTCACTGCATCAAGGGAAGAACCGGGTACATGGGTAGATCTCATTGACTGCATCAAGGGGGAAGAACCAGAAGGTACATGGGTAGGTCTCACTCACTGCAACAAGGGAAGAATTGGGTACATGGGTAGGTCTCACTCACTGCATCAAGGGATGAACCGGGTACATGGGTAGGTCTCACTCACTCCATCAAGGGAAGAACCAGGTACATGGGTAGGTCTCACTCACTGCATCAAGGGAAGAACCAGGAACATGGGTAGGTCTCACTCACTACATCAAAGGAAGAACCAGGTACATGGGTAGGTCTCACTCACTGCAAGGGAAGAACCAGGTACATGGGTAGGTCTCACTCACTGCATCAAGGGAAGAACCGGGTACATGGGTAGGTCTCACTCACTGCAAGGGAAGAACCAGGTACATGGGTAGGTCTCACTCACTGCATCAAGGGATGAACCGGGTACATGGGTAGATCTCACTCACTGCATCAAGGGAAGAACCGGGTACATGGGTAGATCTCACTCACTGCATCAAGGGAAGAACCAGGTACATGGGTAGGTCTCACTCACTGCATCAAGGGAAGAACCAGGTACATGGGTAGGTCTCACTCACTGCATCAAGGGAAGAACCAGGTACATGGGTAGATCTCACTCACTGCATCAAGGGAAGAACCGGGTACATGGGTAGATCTCATTCACTGCATCAAGGGAAGAACCAGGTACATGGGTGGTCTCACTCACTTCATCAAGGGAAGAACCAGGTACATGGGTAGGTCTCACTTACTGCATCAAGGGAAGAACCGGGTACATGGGTAGGTCTCACTCACTGCATCAAGGGAAGAACCAGGTACATGGGTAGGTCTCACTCACTGCATCAAGGGAAGAACAGGGTACATGGGTAGGTCTCACTCACTGCATCAAGGGAAGAACCGGGTACATGGGTAGATCTCACTGCATCAAGGGAAGAACCAGGTACATGGGTAGGTCTCACTCACTGCATCAAGGGATGAACCGGGTACATGGGTAGATCTCACTCACTGCATCAAGGGAAGAACCGGGTACATGGGTAGGTCTCACTCACTGCATCAAGGGAAGAACCGGGTACATGGGTAGATCTCACCCACTGCATCAAGGGAAGAACCAGGTACATGGGTAGGTCTCACTCACTTCATCAAGGGAAGAACCTGGTACATGGGTAGATCTCACCCACTGCATCAAGGGAAGAACCAGGTACATGGGTAGGTCTCACTGCATCAAGGGAAGAACCCGGTACATGGGTAGATCTCACTCACTGCATCAAGGGATGAACCGGGTACATGGGTAGATCTCACTCACTGCATCAAGGGAAGAACCCGGGTACATGGGTAGATCTCACTCACTGCATCAAGGGAAGAACCGGGTACATGGATAGAGCTCACTCACTGCATCAAGGGAAGAACCGGGTACATGGGTAGGTCTCACTCACTGCATCAAGGGAAGAACCGGGTACATGGGTAGGTCTCACTCACTGCATCAAGGGAAGAACCGGGTACATGGGTAGGTCTCACTGCATCAAGGGAAGAACCAGGTACATGGGTAGATCTCACTCACTGCATCAAGGGAAGAACCGGGTACATGGGTAGGTCTCACTCACTGCATCAAGGGAAGAACCGGGTACATGGGTAGATCTCACTCACTGCATCAAGGGAAGAACCATATACATGGGTAGGTCTCACTCACTGCATCAAGGGAAGAACCAGGTACATGGGTAGGTCTCACTGCATCAAGGGAAGAACTGGGTACATGGGTAGATCTCACTCACTGCATCAAGGGAATAACCGGGTACATGGGTAGATCTCATTCACTGCATCAATGGAAGAACCGGGTACATGGGTAGATCTCACTCACTGCATCAAGGGAAGAACCAGGTACATGGGTAGGTCTCACTCACTGCATCAAGGGAAGAACCGGGTACATGGGTAGGTCTCACTCACTGCATCAAGGGAAGAACCGGGTACATGGGTAGGTCTCACTCACTGCAAGGGAAGAAACGGGTACATGGGTAGATCTCACCCACTGCATCAAGGGAAGAACCGGGTACATGGGTAGATCTCACTCACTGCATCAAGGGAAGAACCCGGTACATGGGTGGATCTCACTCACTGCATCAAGGCAAGAACTGGGTACTTCCCCGTGAATGGCTTCCTTGTCCTTCTCTGCAGCCTGATGTCAAGTTGGCAGTGTAGTCATGAAGTGAACCTCACACAAGAAAGTGAAAAATCCCTTGTCCCCAATGGTGAAATGTGAGGGGGATACGGTGATTGGCACTGTTCATCCCTGCATCTGTGTGACCCACAACTGCTCAGTATTTCTTGACACATATTTGCACTGATATCGTTCTAGCCATGTACTGGTGACTTTTGGTGTTTAGGTATTGTTTAAATTATGTTTTGTTTGGATTCCATGAAATAATGGGGTTTAAGTTCAAATCCAATGATATCCACTGCTACTGTTGTCTGACTTGAAGCTCAGTTGTGTGGCAGAATCCTCAGTTGTGTGGTGGGATCCTCAGTTGAGTGGCAGGAGGCTCAGTTGTGTTGCAGAATCCTCAGTTGTGTGGTGGGATCCTCAGTTGTGTGGCAGGAGGCTCAGTTATTTGGCGGAAGGCTCAGTTGTGTAGCAGGAGGCTCAGTTGTGTGACAGAATCCTCAGTTGTGTGGCAGAATCCTCAGTTGTGTGGCAGGAGTCTCAGTTGTGTGGCAGAATCCTCAGTTGTGTGGCAGAATCCTCAGTTGTGTGGCAGAATCCTCAGTTGTGTGGTGGGATCCTCAGTTGAGTGGCAGGAGGCTCAGTTGTGTTGCAGAATCCTCAGTTGTGTGGTGGGATCCTCAGTTGTGTGGCAGGAGGCTCAGTTATTTGGCAGAAGGCTCAGTTGTGTAGCAGGAGGCTCAGTTGTGTGACAGAATCCTCAGTTGTGTGGCAGAATCCTCAGTTTTGTGTCAGAATCCTCAGTTGTGTGGCAGGAGGCTCAGTTGTGTGGCAGAATCCTCAGTTGTGTGGCAGAATCCTCAGTTGTGTGGCAGGAGGCTCAGTTGTGTGGCAGAATCCTCAGTTGTGTGGCAGAATCCTCAGTTGTGTGGCAGGAGGCTCAATTGTGTGGCAGAATCCTCAGTTGTGTGGCAGGTGACTCAGTTGTGTGGCAGGAGGCTAAGATGTGTGGCAGGAGGCTCGGATATGGGTCAGAATCCTCAGTTGTTTTTACAGGAGGCTCAGATGTGTGGCAGGAGGCCCAGTAGCGGGAGACTCTCTTGTTACAGGAGACTCAGTTGTGTGGCAGAATCCTCAGTTGTGTGGCAGGAGGCTAAGATGTGTGTCAGGAGGCTCATATATGTGTCAGAATCCTCAGTTGTGTTACAGGAGGCTCAGATGTGTGGCAGGAGGCCCAGTAGGGGGAGACTCACTTGTTACAGGAGACTCAGTTGTGTGGCAGGGGGCTCAGTTGAGTGGCAGGAGGCTAAGATGTGTGGCAGGAGGCTTAGATATGTGTCAGAATCCTCAGTTGTGTTACAGGAGGCTCTGATGTATGGCAGGAGGCTCAGTTATTTAGCAGAAGGCTCAGTTGTGTGGCAGAATCCTCAGTTGTTTGACAGAATCCTCAGTTGTGTGGCAGGAGGCTA